AAAGAACTAGAAATTGACCTTCCATATGACCCAGCAATTCCTCTATTGGGAATATACCTGGAGGAACTCAAATCATTCTACAAAAAAGATACCCACATACGTATGTTTGTTGCAGCTCCATTCACAATAGCAAAAACATGGAACCAACCATGTTGCCCATCAAAGCTGGACTGGATAAAAAAAATGTGGTACATATACACAATGGAATATTATGCAGCCATAAAGAAAGACAAACATGGACTTTGCAGCAACTTGAATGGATTTAGAGTCGATCATACTCAGTGATCTATCACAGAATCAAAGAACAGGGTACCATATGTTCTCACTCATAAGCTGACCTTGAACAATTATAATACTATAAGAAAGCGATTGGCAGTAGTGGGAAACTGTCAGGGAAGCAGGGGTGGAATTGGCAGTTGAGGGGAACTGCTAGGGGAAGAAGGGGGATACATCATCAACAAAAGTAACTGCATAATCAATGTTTGTATATCTAACCCTGAATTGTACCCCACATCTTTATAATAAAAAACAAAGAATGGCCATCATTAATAAAACAAACAACAAGAGATACTGGTGAGGATGGGGAGAAAAAGGAATGCTTCTACACTGCCGATGGCAATGCAAACTAGTGCAACCTCTTTGGAAACCAGCGGGGTGATTTCTAAAAGAACTAGACATTGACCTTCCACATGACTAAGCAATCCTTCCACTGGTAATATACCCAGAGGAACTCAAATCATCCTACAAAAAAGATACCTGCACACGCATGTTTCTTGAAGCACTATTCACAATTGCAAAAACATGGAATCAACTGTGCTGCCCAGTGAAACTGGACTGGATAAAAAATGTGGTACATATATACAATGATATATGATGCAGTCATAAAGGACAAACATACGGACTTCACAGCAACCTGGATGGATTTAGAGTGTATCATACTCAATCATTTAGCACAGCAACAAAGAACAGAGTATCACATGTTCTCACTCATAAGCTGACCCTGAACATTTATCATAATAGTATAAGAAAGGAATTGGCAGTAGTGGGACACTGCCAGGGTGGGGAGGGGGGGCATAACATCAGTAAGGGTACCTGATTTCAAACCAGGTCAAGTAGGGACCAAAGGGAGGCCTAAACTTTACCTGTACAGTGACCACTTATACACCTAATCTAGAATTGTGCCCCACATCTTTAAAATAAGGTAATAAATAAATAAGACTGGTGGGAAGGGGCAGGACACACACATATATAAAGAGGATGCAAGACAGCAGAAAAACTAACATGGCTGTGAAAAAAAGCAATGTTCTAAGAGTAGAGAAGATCCCCGGGAAAGGCTGAGATGACTTGAAATAAAAGCGAGGATGATGGGCAGATAGGAGCAGGGAGGCTATTGTGCAGGGGAGGGGTGGTAGGGCATGAGATGGAAAGATCTGGACGTGTCCAAGGGGTGGTGGGAACACTGGGAAGAAGGGTAAGGGTGAAGCAAGGTTAGGAAAGTAGGATGAGAAGGAGAAAGTCATCACTGAGGGTTTCTATGTAGAGAGGAAAGGTGAGGGAGGCATGAGCACCTACCAGCAGAGCTTGGGTCTTCCTAACAAAGACTTTTTTATCACTACTATAACCTCAGCTCCTATCAGAGGTCTCAGCACACAGCAATCCTCAAATATTTACCAGCTTCACCAGACAAGTCTATGTTCAGCTCTTGAAGTCATACAATTCTCCAAAATTTTAATATTTCAATCCCAAAAACATTAATTTAAAAATCAACTATGTTCACTGAGGTGTCCTTCATTCAAACAACAACAGAATATCTACCTATCTACAAACCATTTAAACAAAACAAACTCCTTGTCAAGGAGCCCTGTCAGACATATTTGTTTGTTTGTTTGTTTTGAGTTGGATTCTCACTCTGTTGCCTGGGCTAGAGTGTTGTGGCACGCTCATGGCCACCACAGTTTCAACCTGCTGGGCTCAGGTGATCCTTCTGCTTCAGCCTTCCAAGTAGCTGGAACTATAGGCACGCACCACCATATTTGGCTACTTTTTTTTTTAATTGTAGAGATGAGGTCTCACCAAGTTTGCCCAGGCTGGTCTCGAACTCCTGGACTCAGACAATTCTCTTGCTTCTGCCTCCGGAAGTGCTGGGATTACAAGCGTGAGCCACCACGCCTGGCTCATATTTCACTTTCATTCTGCAAGCTCTGTACCTCAGTCAGGTTGATGTCTTGTTTTTTGTTGTTTTTTTTTTGAGTCAGAGTCCCACTGTCATTCAGGCTGGAGTGCAGTGGCAGGTTCATGGCCACCACAGCCATGACCTGCTGGGCTCAAGTGATCCTTCCACCTCAGTCTTCCGAGTAGCTGGAACCACAGGCGTGTGCCACCACATCTGGCTAATTTTCTGATGTATTGTAGAGACGAGGTCTCACCATGTTCCCCGGGCTGGTCTCAAACTCCTGGGCTCAGGCAATCCTCTCACCTCTGCCTCCAAAAGTGCTGGGATGATAGATGTGAGCCACCGCACCTGGCCAGGTCAATGTCTTTCACATTCTCTGCAGTCATCTTGTTTGTTACTCCTCCTTGCCTCTGGTCAGGTAGTTCTTCAACCCACCTTCCTTATTGTGGTAAGAAAAGTGTTTTCAATAGTGATCCATGAAGATATAGAAAGATAATCAAACACATTTAGCATGTGTTTCTCTGCAACACATATTTTTTTAGTATAAAGAGAAGGCTTTCTTTCCAGTTCCAAAAGGAATCAGATATATAAATAAATTTGTCATATATTTAGTGTGAATTTCAGGAATTAGAATCATATATTAACTTTATAACTTGTCACCCATCCGCTTGACTAAGGCATGTAAGTTACACATCTGGTTTATACTCATTTTAGTACTTTTAGTTTTAGCCTTGAAAAAGTGTGTTGGTTCTCAAAGTAGGTACTTGTTTTCACAGCTGGAACAATTAAGAATAAAACGTATTATTTATAACATCTTCCACTACAATTAAAACTTTGTTATACCTATGTTAACAATTTTTTCTTTCCTCTATC